AATCAATGGTTAAGATTAATCAATAAAAAAAATTAAATTTTTAAGTTTGAATTTTAATGAGGCATAGTGAACAATGATGAAATGGGCATTTTGGGAAAAAAAAAATACACTTATCAAGATTATTCTAGTAAATTGAATTCATTTGTAACCCCCAAACAATTAATGGAGAGTTACAAACAATCAAATCCCAAAAAATATGCATTTTTATATATATTTTTTTACTATTGATCTTCCATGTTCATTCTTGTATGAATTCCTAAATCGCATAAGAAACACGGTAGTAACAATTTTCGGTATTGATCAATTTGAACACAAATGAACCGTGAACACAATTTGAACAAAAATGAACAACCGTGAACACAATTTGAACACAAATGAACCGTGAACACGATATGAACACGATATGAAAACAAATGAACACGATATGTGCAATTTTTGGCCCATATATTCACATATATAGACGTCCCACAAAATTAAGGTAGCATCTGTTAATTTGTGTTCATCTGTTAATTTATTCAAATTGTGTTCACAGTTCATTTGTGTTCAAATTGTGTTCACGGTTGTCATGTGTGTTCACGGTTCATTTGTGTTCAAATTGATCAATACCGAAAATCGTTACTACGTGTTTCTTATGCGATTTAGGAATTCATATAAGAATGAACATAGAAGATCAATAGTAAAAAAATTAATAATATGAATGCATATTTTTTTGGGATTTGATTGTTTGTAACTCCCCATTAATTGTTTGAGGGTTACAAATGAATTCAATTTACTAGAATACCCTTGTAAAGGTAAAATGAACAAGACATAAACGTCTAAGAATAATGGAATTTGATTGGTTGAGAGAGTATTCAAAGTTAATACAAAAATGATGGTTAACATTTGATCTTCCCTCTCTCTCTCTCTCTCTCTCTCTCTATATATATATATATATATATATATATATATATATATAAGGTTGGGTTCACGTAAGGCCAATGGTTTTTTGTGAGACCCGTAAGACCAATTTATGTTCATTGATCAACTTTTTAAGTTAATGATCTAATGGTCTAAATTACACGGTGGCAATTTTGTGATTATTGAGAAGTCTCGTGGCATTTATAAATGTTTAGATTGTGAGATTATAAATCTAATCCAAGGGTTGAGAATTGGTCTTATGGGTCTCATGAAAAACCATTGGTCTTACATGATCCCAAGTCTATATATATATATATATACACACACACACACTACTTGGTGTACCCGTGCAATGCGGCGGGAGCCGTGAATTTTAACGATTTTGAAGTTTCACTGGTTTTATTAGAGAATATTTAACGATAATATAAATTATACTTGATCTTTACATATTAATACAATTTGAATAAATAAGAGTTATGGTTCTAATTACAGGCTATCGATGAAAAAAAAAATTGTATGACAGTTTAAAATCCAACATATTTAAACGACCCAACAAATGCGTTTGATTTACACCAAGAGCAAAGAATCAAAAGATCTAGAGCGAGACCGATAATTTTATAGCAATTGAATGAGAGATGAATGAGATAATTTTTAATAACTCATGATGAATATCAGTTTGAATCTCACCTTGAGGGATGAGGAGAAGATATAGAGGTATGAGAGAGTGAAAACATGAGTGAAAAGTGTCAAAAGTATCTTGGGAATATGAAAAGAAAAGGTAATAATGTACACTGGTAACTTGTATTATAAGTTATTTTAATTGTACATTAATGAGTTGTTTTTAAGACTTTGTGCATAATATATATATATATATATATATATATATATATATAATCATTGACAAGTAATTACATAAGTAATTTATCAGTATGACCTATCAACGATGGATTCTAGATGTACAGTATCTGTCAGTGTAGTAATCACTTGGTTGGAAATATCTGTTAATGATGCCATGCTTTCTACTAGTGTTTGCTAAATCCTCAACACAAGTACAACTTTTGTCGTTTGGGTAAAAAGTTGATCACCGTCAACCCCAACCGACCCCACATAAAACCCTGCACCTCTAAAGACACCAATATTTGGACAAAGTCACCTCAGCTTTTACCAATCAAGATACACGCTAGAAGCATACAACATTCATCATTAAATGAACGACCTTTAGCTTACGAAATACAAAAGCATGGTTTTCTGTTTGAAAAAGTAGAAAACTTTTAGCAGTTTAGTTTCATATTTATCTAAACCGAGAATATATTTTTTTTAAAAATATTCGTAAATTCAAAACAGAACCAACCAGAAGATGTTTTGATTTAATCCCAAATAGGCATAACTGATCTAGACGGTTTTTGTTTTCAAAACCCGGCTTAAAGCATCTCTAGCAAAATATCCCAAAAGAGGAAAATAAAAATCCCGAGATTTTTTCAGTAAAAACTTAAATCATCCTCCAAAAATAGAAAAAAAGAACCGAGACAACAAAACGTCATCCATATTTAGAAAGAAAGAAAACGTATATTAAATATTTTTTTTGACGCACTTAGAGAAAATAGAAAGTGTATTAATCTACCATTTTCTCGAAATTACCATTTCAGAAAATTGTTTTAACATTTTGTTAAGTTATTAAATACATTAAATATATTTAATAATATAATTAATTGTAAAATTAATTCATTAAAAATAAAAAAATCTTTTATAGATTTTAATTATTTGCTTAATTTATATAAAAAGCTTATAGTTAAAATATAATTGCAGATACATGTAAATTAATCACGTTTTGGCAACATAAACCAGATTAAATAATACATTGATTATTATACTATTTTCGTTATCGAACATATATGTATGATACATATATTGTATTCGAATTTTTTGATCGTTTATTCGATTACGCAAACCGATTAAACCAAATTTTACTTGGTTCGGTTATCAGATAGTTTGAGAAATATTGAGTGTTTGAGATTGCTTATAAAAACAACTTATTGACTTATTTTGGTGTGATACCGGTAATAAACACTTTCGAGTTTTTGAATAAACAACTTATACCAGTGCCAATCCGATAATAAGTAGTTTTTGAAGAAGTTAAACTCTTTGAACTTATAATAAGTTGTTTCATATTAACAATCCCAAACACCCCCTAAAACACGGATTAAGAGGTTGTTTGTTTACCTCTTAATAGTTACATTAACAGACAATCTCTGAATCGTTAAAAGATGAATTTTGTTTGCAAAAAAAAAGTCTGCCTCTTAATTATTCTAAAACCCTTTGAATGGTTTTGTATCCTGGGTCTCCCTTAACCATTCAGCACCCTAATTCCATTGTAAACAATTACCGAACAATTATATTTTATTTTGCACTATATCATAAGAGCCTCTTAATCATTCTGACCACTTAATCATTCAGCATCAAACCATTCAGCAACTGACAAACAGTCTCTAATTCATATTAAATATACCAAAAACTGATTTAACCAATCGAATAACATCCTATAACGCTTTTCAAAAATAGCTGTACACGTGTCACAACGGTGTAGGCAACTATGAATTGACCAATATAGCCTCCTGCGATATTTCTATGATTGCCTTATCATTTAACGCTCAGATTTCCATGTGTACACATTCCAAGTCAAAGTCATATACATATACATATACACACACACATATATATATATATATATAATATATATATCTATATGTAAATGCCAACTTCCTATCTAACACCATGTTTCTCAATTAGTCGGCTTGACTTTTCTTCCTCATTCTGTACTTCTCTTCATCAAACCACAAGATATTTCAACAGAAAACAATCTTGTCAGAAACCATCTGTCACAAAGAATTCAAAAAGCTTTTTAATTTGGTCTCAAACATGAGGCATGGTGAGGGCATAGCGTACCACCTTGTTCTTGCCCTTCTCTCCTTTGTCATCTTGTTGTTCATCATCTTAGCCGTTTTCATCTTATGGAAGAACAAGAAGAGCAAAAGATCGAACGAGACGGTCCACGATCAAAAATCCGATCAAGAAACCCCTCCCATAAAGCTTTACGGATCACCGTACTTGTTGGTGGACATCGATGTGGCCACAGATGGATTTAACGAGCGGAGAATCATCGGAAAAGGCCGTTTAGGGACTGTTTACGCCGCCGTGTTAGCCGGAGGTGAATTAGTGGCGGTAAAACGAATCCACCCTCGTTTTGTTTTAAGAAATGCCGGTTTAGGGTTAGGGTTAAACCCGATTCTGAAACGGTTATCTTTAGCTAATCACCCTAATGTTTTGCCAATATTAGGGTTCTCTCAAGGTCCTGGAGAGAGAATTGTGGTAATGGAGTTCATGGGTATGATGAGTTTGGACTTCTACCTCCACCAAAACCCCGACGGGGCGGCGTTACTTGACTGGGGGCGGCGGCTGAGGGTGGCTACCGGTGTTGCTCGAGGGTTGGAGTACTTACATGAAGTGATGTCGCCACCTATACTTCACGGCAGTGTCAAACCTTCAAATATCTTGATAGATGTCAAGTTTAGTGCCAAGATTTGTGATTATGGTCTATCTTTTTTAGCCCCCAATGAGAAAGAAGGGCTGGTGGGGTATGTAGATGAAGAGTATTGGGTCGAACCAAATGGGGTTTCAAAAGAAAGTGATGTTTATGGTTTAGGGGTTGTTTTGTTAGAGTTGTTAAGTGGTAGGAGAAGTGATGGTGGGTTGATTGTGAAGTGGGGTTTGCCATTGATTAAAGAAATGAGAATGGGTGAGGTTTTGGATCCAAGATTAGTGGCACCAAATGACATTAAGCCTTTGGTTAGATTGGCTAAGGTGGCTAGTGCTTGTGTGGGTAATTCTAGGAGAAATAGGCCTTCAATTGGTCAAGTAGTGACAATTTTGAACAATATACAAGATGAAGCCATGATTTGGAGTAATGGGTCATTTTAAAGATTTCGTCTTTTAGTCGGGTTTTTGTTATAAAAGACTGATGTTATGATACCAGATCTGTGATGAAGTAAACGTGACGATAAGAATGAAGATATGTGTTGGTTTGTTAATCTGTATTCATGTTTGATTGTTTGGTTTTGTTTTGAATTCTTTAAACGGTTTTGATTTTGATTAGGAATTGAATTTTGAATAAACCAGACCGTTAAAGATATCATGCGGTATTAATTAATTAGTTTCATGAGAGTTGAAATCATAATTGAATACCAGACACTTTGCTACTTGTTTTTGATTTCGGAGTTTATTAAATCGTGTTATCTTTTGAAAGAATGATTAAATATAAGTAAAGAAAACGAGGTCGTGATCAGAGGTTGATGCTTTTGTCATTTGTTCATGAACACGTCGACCTTTGGCATGCGATATTGGGTGATGGGAAAAGATTGGATCGGGATTTAGGAACCGTAAATCAGTTCAAGACAATTTGGGCCATTTGCAACCTAATTATCTATACTATATTATAAAGAATTTGACAAAAACTTTTGAAAACTATTTTTTATGCTTGAAGTACTGTTTATTGATGCATATTACTTAAAATTCAAGGTTACAAACAAACTGTGCGTAATTACAACTTATTAAAGCTTCTTGTTTGAATTTGTGTAACGAACTGCATATAATCATAGTCAAATACAAGATAAACGTTTCATTTTAAATATAGAAAATCTAAAATATGATTAGGATAATCATTGAGTTCAAACAGAATACTTAAATATTATTCTTATAAAAAATTATATATTATTAAATCAAAAATAAATTACTCAGTTATTAAATCTAAATTAAATTATAATAAAAAATTGAATTAAAAAAATTACACAAAAAACAAGAACTTTTAAATAGTTAATTTGATACTAATATTGATATATTTATTTTCGAAATTTTATGATATTTTCAAATTTATATTTTATTCAAAAATAAAAACATTATTCATTTTTATTAAAACCACATAAAAACCGTATTAAAACATCTACAGAGACGGAATAAAACGAAACATTAAAGTGGAGATATATATTTCGCTGCATTGTACGAGTACCTTTCTAGTAATTTCTAAAGAAAAAATGTACAATTTTTTTAAGAATTTATATTTTAAAAGTATAAAGATTTTTGCAAGGATATATATACCTTTCGAAACATTGTGCCCAGAAAAAAAGATAATTACTCCTAACCACTTATGTTTCTCGGATCAAATTTTAATATATGTAAAAGTAAGGGGTGGTTATGTAAATATCAGATATGGTTAGATTCATGTTAGACCATTTGTTTTCGTGAGACTCATGAAATCAATTTTTTTACACTTGAAACTTAATTGCAAAATGCTGTGAAGGTAAGAAAATGTCGAACCTTCACAGTAAAAACAATGTGAAGTTTGCCTTCACTACTAAAAAAAAAAGTATCAACGATGAAAAAAATCCCTTGCGGATCAGCGAGGGATTGACCCAAAACTAGTTCCCTCGTTGATCTCTCGCTGGTTTTTAGTTTTTTCTGTGAAGTTTCAAGTGTAAAAAAATGAAACCACGTGTCTTACGAAAACAAACTGTTCTAACATGAACTCAACCCCCATACATATATATATATATATATATATATATTATAATTACAAATTTATTTATTTAATAAATTAAAAATCACATAATTGTTGATGAAAGTTGTTGGGAGGACGTGTATTTACACATGACGGTGGTTTGTCCCACACAGTGGATTGAGAATCTCTTTAATTAATTAATTAATTAATTATCTTATATTTATTTATTTATTTATTTATTATTTATTTAAAAAAACGTATGGGGTATTTCTTTAATAAGCTTGTCGTTGCTTAATCATTAATCTGGCTGAAACAAATATACACAGTGTTTAGAAAATTCTTAAATTCCATAATTTACGTTCGAGTTTCGACACACACCCATGCTTTTTCCATTGTTCTTTGTCTCCATTGTTGTTTGTCTCCATTTTAGTATTACAAATAGGGGTGTAAATGATACGAGTCGAACTCGAGAATCACTTAGGGGTGTTAATGAGTTGGGTTGATCGGGTTGAAGACATTTGAACAATCTAATTCAATGCTTGCGGTTTGAAAAATCTTAACCCAACTCAACTCAACCCAACCCAAACCGTCGGGTTGATACTTTGGTATATTAAATATTTTTCTAACATTGAATGTGTTATTTCTCTACTCGTAATTTATTTTCCATCATCAATCATTTGATACAAATTATTCATACTTCTTACGTATATCACATTCAATTAATTTTCTCAAGTTACATACATATGTTCACTGTTACTGAACATATATATCAATGAGTTGTATAAGATGGAGAATACATTGAAAATATGTATATATGAAGAGCGTACGTGATAATGTAATTGTCTAATATACATATCAATATAAACTCAACAATCGTATTAAATCCAAGAAATGAAATAATATCGGGTTCATCAGGTTGGGTTGGGTTCAAATAATAGTAAGCCAGTATCAACCCAATACCTACGGTTTGAAAATTTTACAACTCAATTAGACATCGGGTTGCTTCGGGTTGAGTTATTTCATGTTGGGTTGGGTTGGGTTGATCGGGTTGGTCAGGTTTTTGAGCACCCCTAGTATCACTATACTCGACTCGAACTCGAAACCCAATTTCTATGTTCGAACTCGACTCGAAAACTTACGAGTAGTAAAAATCAAAGCTCGACTCGAACTCGATAACTATTTCCTAAGCTCGAACTCGAATCAAACTCGAATTCAGCTCGAATCAAGCTCGACCAGTGAGATTTATGAAAATTTAGGGTCATTCTCTTAGAAATTTTAAAACTTAAAAATGTTCTCTTAGTTTTTATAAAACTAAAGAGATCAACTCAAACTTCATTATCAAAAAGATAAAGTTAAAAATTTCATTTACCTTCACTTTTTCTTATAACATCTTCTCTCTTTCTTTACCAATTTTTTTAATGTGGGACAATTTTACTAATATTTTTTTATAGTTTTTCTTCGTCTTTTTTTAATTGTGATTTTAATAAAAATAATTGATTAATTTTTAAAAAATGCATAATTTTTTTTAAATATCTAAAAATATAAGACATTTTTATTATTTATATTTTACAAATTTTTTCATTAAAACTAATTATATATAATATAATCGAGTATCTCACGAACTTTTCGAGTCGAGTATTGGGTAGCTTGACTCGACTCGTTAATATATCGAGTCGAGTTCGAGCCGAGCCTATTCGAGTCGAGTGTTGACCGAGCTTTGACCTTGTCGATCTCGAATAGCTCACGAGATGTTTGATACCATTTACACCTCTAACTACAAATATACATGTATTAAATATTGGTTGCTAATTATCGATGATAATTATATAAAAAATCGTTTAAATTACGTCTTTTGGTGCTATTTATATACTTATTTTGTATTTTAAAGTACGTTCATTGACCGTTTTCCTTCAAATATTTAATTATACTACTAAGCGTTCCGAATTATCTTTGTATTAATACCCTTAATTGAAATTTGTCCCCTTATATTCAAGACCTTGACCTAAAGGGAATTTTTTGGTAGGTGTTGGTCCCATACGGATCTACAAGAGTTTAAAGGTAACAATTTGTAGAAAGGAGATGAATACAAACACACAAAGTTCATCTTTTAAAATTCTTTATTGATATGAGAAGATCAATACAAAATTTACAGATTGTTTGCGGAAAAAAAATAAGATACATAACTTATTTAAACAATCTGGAGAACACACAAGATACAGAAAAGCAAGTGAGAAAAAACTTGCTTAAGAAAATGCTATAACTTTGTTTGAGAGTAACTCAGTTTTGCATGTATGTGTTGTTCTTCACTGGAAGTAAGCTTAGCTTCGTGGGATATGGAGAAGCGAGTCTCCATGCCTATTTATACCCATTGCATTAAATTGCAAATCAGAAGTTACACAACACGTGACAAGTTTCTAGAGGTGAGATTGTTTTTTGTCTTCAGTTATACATGTTTTTGTCCGTATATGAATAGTAGTCTTTCACAAAGTAGGTAAGCACGCTTGGAGACAATAGAGTGACTTCATACATGTGCTTTACTTTGAGAGTTATGAGGTTGTCCTTGTATGCAGGAGGATAAGACAAAATGTAATCTTGTATTACAAGATTTATTTGATTGCTAACACTGGCATAACTCTAGAGTTTCTTCAGTGTTTTGCTGAATCTTGAACCAACTTCACACTTGATTTTAGACATGCTTGTTATCACTGAAAAATCGCATCAGATCACAAACGATGAGACAGACCAAGAGGTGAGGATCGATAGGTTCGAGTTGTAAAAGGTAACGTTATGTTTGTGAATTATAATCTACGTAATACATAACTTATTTTTTGATCTTATTGAAAAAAACCTCCTTTGATAAGCCATAAGCTAGCCGAGGGTTTTAATTTTTACTTTTTATTTAATTATGTTCGTTATCAAATAAAAACGAAATTATCAGATAACAATCAGTTATTTTATAAACTAGTTTGCAGAACACATAACATAAATATTTTGTACAAGAATCACATGGGTGGTGCCTTATTGGTTTGAGCTTGGGCTCCAAAGGTCATAGTGTCTGGAGGTCTCAAGTTCAAATTCAAGAAAGAATAGAAATCCCCTTATGGCTACGGATGTTCAAATACGGTGACTCCGGGCTACCGCTAAGCAGATGATCGCTCTGGGATTAGTCGGTTCACATAACGGGTCGAATATCCAGTTTAATTATATATATTTATATATATATATATAAATATATATATATATATATATATATATATATTGTACAAGAGAATTATAGGGTTTTAATTAATAATATGGTCCATTCAGTTAATATATAGGCTAAATCACGTAAGTATTTGTCTTTTTATCTACAAAATATATTTTATTACAGTAGATATTATATTTTAATAATTATATAACACGACCCATAAGCTACGATACATCATTTGGATATATATATATATATATGTAGACTTGGATTATGTGAGACCAGCTTGTTTTCGTGAGACCCGTGAGACCAGCATTTTACACTTGAAACTTCACAGCAAAATGCTGTGAAGGTAACTTTTTAAAACC